TAGCATCCCACTCACACGTGGAACAAAAGTCTATATCCAAAAACAACTAAAAGGCCCCCCATTTATAAACAAACCCAACTATTTAAATGATCCCCCCGCCCAAAATCTTTATGTTTGTATGAGCCCCACCTCTCTTTAAACCCCCCCCCCCCCCCCCCCCCCCATAATAGACTCCCCCTATGATAATTACTCCAAAATACTAGGACATAGCAAAAAGCAGAAAAATGATTCAATTTTTTCAGTTTCTTGCTTGATTAACAAGGGTTCGCTTATTGCATCATGTTCGATGTCAAGTTCAAAGTAAAAATAAACAAACTATTGCAATATAATGACCCTGGGAGAAGTTCCTGATTCCGTGGGTGAATTTGAAAGGCCATTTGTATGGCTTCTGTTCTGGAGCAGTTGTCGGTGAGTTTTGGAACAGTGAAGTAACACCTTTGTGAAAACTAGATTTGCATTAATAGGTAATAATTGATACCCTGGGGATTATGCAAATAATACTATATATAAATGAGGTTTGAGCACTCGTTCCATGGCTACAAAAGTAATGAGTCTTAGCAGTGTACCATCCCACCCAAGAAGTAAACTGGGGTGGATCCTGCCCATTTTACTTTATCCCGGCCCTTAGGCTTTTCTCCCATGCCTTAGTACCATGTACCCAGGGTAGAATATTGGACTATCTTAATTGTCTTGCCATTTGTATGCTACCTCAGCCTTAAAGTATAGTGTAGCCTAGAGGAAATTCAGTAAAAAAGCGAATATATACCATCTAGGTGCCGGTCTGATTTTTTATGAAAGCTTTTAGTTGTTTTTCCTATACAGTTTTTCCTAGATAGGTGGTGGAATGCTGTATTGTTTGGGAGAAAAACATAAGAATCTCTTGGACATTCTAACGAACCCCTCGCTGGCAGACTTAACATTGTCATCAGTGAGTCATTAAAGTAAGTAAACTGTTATCTACTCCATCACTTACTCTATTTGTTCATAAATTTATCAGGGCTCTCAATAAGGACCAGAATCTCCCCAAGCTGCAAGGGACGTAACCCCTAGTTACCTGAATAGGCAAATACAGTTATGAAAATAAAAACAAAAAAATCCCTAGCTGTTTCATTCCCTACCTTCTTCTTAAAATCTTGAACAGAGGCACCCAACGTCAATTTTCGGAAAATATCTGTTCGGAAGACGATTTGAGATCTAGAATTTTCGAAACATTTGTTGTAAAATTTCTTGCTTGCCTGCCTCTCCTAGGATTTCTCTTCTGGTCCAATTGCCCATTTTTAACGGATTTTTACCCTAAAAAGGTCACCTAGAATTTTCGGGAGCCTTTTTTCTGCCTGAAATTTTCGAAAAGGTAAGTTTTGTTCCCTATAAGTTTCGGATCACTAGACTTTCAGCTAGGAAATCCGAACAGATGAATTATTTTTAGGAGATAAAAATATGCCAATAGCTACCGTTTAAATACTAAAATACCTTCATCAATGCTATGTTTAAGTGGTTTAGAACTACCGGTATATTCTCGTTGGGTGCCCCTGCTTGAATCTTAGTGACAGCCCTGATTATAATCATTAATCAAATTATTATTATTACTTTGATGAATGAATGAATAATCCGGCTCTATCGTACAATTTGCGTTCATGTTTTGTCATCTGTAGCCTGAATTTAAGTCTTTTAGCCTCGTAACGCTGGAAAGGAGCGTTGCGTGACGACAACTGCGTATGAGACTAAGTCGGCAGAACGCTGGCGGGAGATCGTGGGCTCCATTCCCAAGAGCGAAATAACTGCCTTTGCCCTGCGTGGCTCGGTGGACCACGTTGAAATGCAGGGACCGCGGAGCAAGGTGAAAAGTGGAAGGGCTGACAATTGAAAATGATTTTTTTCGTATCGAAAATCGAAAAAAGGAATAAAATCATAGTATTTTGATTTGTTTCTGTCGTGTGACTTTGCATACTTTATCCAGTATTTGTTGCTCTTTTTAGGTCGGCATTAGTGAAGATACCGAAATTCTTCATACGATTTTCATTCCGTCCAGCAAATGTGTATGCTAAATTACAGGATTGCTGACAATAATTAGAATATTATAAATAGAATAAATATACAACCCATCACCAAAAATCCAATTACATTTAACGAATATTAGTCAGAAACAACTCGCACTTCCAAAAAATGAAACTTTTAACAATATATTGAAATGTTTACTGGTCAAACTCAAACTCACCATTTTCACTGCAAGTAGTTGTCGTCTTTTCTGCAGAGCTTACAGACTTTGACGAAGTCCCAGCTAACTCTAATAAACGACCAACATACACGGTCAGTTAAGATTCAATGCAAGAAAAGACGCGATTACAATTTTAGTATAGAAAATACTACACTGAAGTGATCTGAAAAATTTCTAACTATGGCCGTTCACTGTTCAAGTAATGTAATTCTTCTTGCCATCGAATATTTCATTGATTCGAAAGGAGAAAGACAAAATATAAAACTTTTATCAACTTAAAACAACTACTCACCTTCGTTTGGCTTGAAAAAGCTAGTAATTTTCTTCATTTCGTCTGATAAAACTGATAAAAAACTCTGCCGGAGCTGGAAGTACAAAACACGCTGCCGAACGAAGCGAAGGGGTGGCCAAGGCATGGCGTTTGATCAAGGGGCAAGTCGTCCCCAGGGCACAATTACCGCGAAAAGTACAAGAGCCCCACAAAATGCCTGCGTTTAAAATTAAAGAAAATACAGAGAATATAGCGGAATATAGACGGAAAAAACTTGTTTCAAGTCTTTTTTTTTATTTTAATTATTTTTCTTTTCAGCGCAAAAAGTGGGGGCGGGGGCGGAAAAAAGTGGTGGGGCCGCGGCCCTACCAGCCCCTCCCCCTCCGCGGTCCCTGAAATGGCCGTCTCTTTTCCAAGAAGGAAACGTTAAAACAATTCAAACAATTAGAACTTGCTCCCTATATGGATTAACATCTTAACTAAAGAGCGTTTTCTTTGTAATGTGCCGTTTTTCTTGCTTCTTTCTAAACAGCTAGTACACATACCGGCCGGTCTTTTGGTAGGGACGGACATGATATCCTTACACTCTAAAGTGGTTCTCAGTTTTTAATTCAGCCTGACATTCATCGTCAGGTAAAAAGACTCCTTGGTAATACGGGTTCTGTCCAATATTCAACATTTTCTCCAAATAGTTCACTCTTGCCTCGGTAAGCCGTTTGACACAATCGGGTTCTAGTTCAGAGTAACGCTTATGTTTCTGTATTTCCTCCCAAGTCTCACGAGTCTGCGACACAAACCTATTGACGCATGTCTCAACTATCCATTTTTCAAGAGGATATCTCTGGCTGACGATTATCACTTCCAAGGCTTCGTCTACGGTCATGTCTGTTATGCACCAGTATCTTAAGTATTCCTCACAACGGATTTTCAGTCGATCGATTTGGTATTCAGTCGAAAGCTTCATAAGGGCGAGACAGTTTTCCTTTGAGATAAATAGATCCTGATCAGGATAAATACCTTGAAGCAGCTGCTCTATTTCCGTTGCATCTTTACCCGGAAGTGGTATTTCGGGGGCAAATTTTTCTTTGAAATTTGAAGACAACATGGCCTCAAACACTGGCGAACATATGATCAATACGGCTCGATGGACATGAAACTCCCTGCCTGCGACTTTAAGAACCAAGTCACTTGACTTCCAAGGGCGAGAAAAAGCTTCGGCTTTGGGTGTTTCTGTCGAGATTTCAGCCTTACAGAAATGGTCAGCGTTGGAATCCATGCCTTTGGCAATTCTTTTCAAATTAGTAACTGCGGCACGCGATAGTTATTTAGAACGTCGTCATTTGCATATGCATAATTTTTGCTAATCAAATTACAAACACATGTCAATTACGGTACTGATTGTAAGGGCTTTACTGTCGGATATGACTTAGGGAAAGTCGTTTTTAATTGGCGGGAGGGGGGGGTAGGCTGGGGTACTTTTCACATCTGTTTTCTGAAAAATTTCGTGGCCCTCCATCTCAGACAAAACAAAACCTATGACCCTCCCCATTCCTATCCTTCCTTTGCATACATGTATACACCAATTCAATACAATCGGCAACTCTACGACCCTTCCCTGACTACGACAAGCTTCCTGTTTACCATTATCTACATGTACCACTATCAGCAACATCTTTCGATGGTTATGAACATGATGATTTTCAGCCCGGAGCTGAAATGAAAAGAATGTTCCAGAACTATATTGTCCCGCAGGAGTTTGTGAGGGACAATGTTGATCACCTTGCTTAAATTGAAATGCGTAAGGAAAAGCGAAGAGATGGAAGTGGGAGGCAGAAAACGCAGCGGCTGGAACAAGATTCAAAGACATTGATTGAGAACGATCGTATCATTCTGACCAAATATCATGGTTGAAAGTTCATGAACTTAATTGGTACTTAGTACGTCATGGAATCGTGTTTAAGGGGAAGAAGTCAGAGAAAGTGGCATACCGTATATAAAGGCACATATCGCTAGCAGGATTTTATCAGGCTCAAAGAAAAAGACTGCACTTTGTAAAGAAACTTCAACTTCGGACTCAGAAAGTGATGTAGAGGAAAGGATTGTAGGCGTCATTGTAGGCTCCGAAACATTGTCAACATCATCGAGAGAATTGAGCCATAAGTGACAGCCCTGTTCTGCATACTGTGGTCACATCAACGTCAACGTACGGCAGAAAGAGAACACGGGTCGTCCGAGACAGTCACATGCCATGGTATAACAAGTAGAAAAAAGAAAGACAGAAAGAGTGAATGAATCTGATGAATGTACTGTAATAAAACTGCTGTTTAACAGGAAAATTGAGTAATTACAACTTCCCGTTTAATAGAAAGGACTGGTATGAAGCTTTAAAATACCAAAGAGTCACGAAACAATGACATCAATGTGTTAACTGAACATACTTGCACAAACCACTGTGAAAAACTCTCCGTTTTTAAAATAGGGGTTGACCCTCCCAAAGGGTCCCATTTTTTTGGATGACTCTCCCCTCTCAAGCCACAGCCCTCCCCCCCCCACCCAATTTCCCCCCCCCGCCCCCCCCCCCCACGCCGAGCCTCCCCTTGCTATTCCTTTTTCCTTGACTTAATCGAGTACCAATGTTTTGCTATTTTTACTGTGCAGCTGGCTTGTAGGCTGGCTCACGGTAGACTGGGTTTTGTTATTTTAGGTT